TCTGCCTGAAGGAAGAGGCAAATCGCCCCATTTGGAGCGTTGTAGATGTTTTGCGTATTTTTTTACAGGTGAGCAGTACCTCATAAAATCATTGTTTTAATTTTCCTTGCCAGGACTTTTGCTCCCATTCACTGCGGGCAATTGAGGGAGTGAGATCTATCACCGTGGATGTTTAAAATCCTCACGGTGTTTCGATCTGATGGTTTCGGCCTGCCTTGGTAGTCAGGAAGCAACAGCAGATGGGACTCAACCAGAAGGCAAAGTGCTGGGGGGAACTTCATTGGGAGCATCAACCCCGAAATGATCCTCAGTTCTGAAATTGCAGTGCTGACGCAGGATTTGATCAGGGATTTTGGCGCATCAATTTTGTGTCGCCTCTTCTAGATTCTAGGGGATTTGTCCACCTTTCAGGGAAAGTTTTGGATCCACTATGAGGTGAGTACCTTGAGGGTGATTGTTCCGACCTTCCAGGCGAATTCCCTTAGCAGGTGGTGACCTTTTGCGATCCACAACATTCTTTGGCACTCCAGAACCTTACAAGTTGGCTACTCAACCACGTCCAAGCCACCAGTGTCAAAACCTGGGTTGATAAATCCTGGTTGATGGTTTTCAATGGGCTACCCCCAAAATCATCCAAGATTAGTGATTAAATCACTACTGGAAATGCCCTCAGCATCCCCAGCACTCGAATCGCATCCTGGGTTATGAACAACAATTGCTGATCTCGGAGTTCATGCCGGGAAAGCATGGGAAAGCTACAATCCGACGGTTAACATTTTCACAAGATCAACATCAATGATTCCTAGCAGTACTATATGTAGGAGCGTTTCCAACATTCACCAACACATATTGAGACATTTTCTCAAAATTGGGATGTTACCCACACATTGGCTTCACTATTGATTAATTATTACCTAATCCTAGCAATTCGATATAGTATTCCCAACATTAGACTCTTCGCAATGGTTCATTACACCAATGGTTAATTACACCAACATAGATAACGCATATCATATTATCATATTATGAACATCCATTAACAGATCATTAACACTATACATATATATATATATTTATAACAATATATATATACACATAAATTTACGAATCAATATTGGAATACCATAGATCACTGGTTCATGAACCACCGCTATTCCCAACAGCCACGGTGCGAGGAGATGATGCACCTGCTGGGCGACGTGCTCACCGATGCCTGGAAGGAGCTGAGGAAAGACGACCCCGCGTGGCTCGGTGATCCAACCGGTGATCCCCGGTGATCCCATGGATCAAGGCGTGGCATTGACATTTAAAGGGATCCCTTAAAGGGATCCCCAAAATGCTGGGGAAATATATGGAAATATGGCATTTTTTTTTTTTGGATCCCGGATGGATCCTTCGGTTTTTGCCAGATGGATGATTTTTTTTGGGACTCAGTTTTGCGGAATGGAAATGTGAGGGACACCTAAAATGTCTCGGATCAATGGGATAAGCTACAGGTTGACTTTGAGGTTTTTTTAGGGGGTGACAGACCACCAGATGGCAACACATATATCAAGCCACGAAATGAGGGATATGTTGATCAGATCGATGGAATGGAAGAAAATTCCGGACCATTGGGTAATCGCGAAAACAACATCTACCCTCGGGTAATCATAATAATCTGACCTGACAAAGGACGAAATCCTCACCTGTGAACTCAGGTTGCAAGACTGGACTCGCCTGAGACCCTTGGTTTCAACAGTTCCAACTCAACCTGGTGAATGAGAAACATCATGATGAACCATTGGAAAACTTGGGTACCCTATGTTTGGACAAAGCCCAATCATGATGTTTGCAAATCAAGGAACTCAGCAGAAATGGCAACCCAACTGTTGGTAGATTCATGCGGGAAAGTCTCTTGGTTGTGATTCACCCAGAGTTGGTGATTTTTTTCATGTTTTGGCCCCCGCGATGCTAAGGAAGCAACTGTCAAGAGCAGTGCATGGCTCATGTGCCTTGGATGTGCTGTTTTGTTGTCACAGATATTGCTACATTATGCTATATTACCATCTACTTGTAGTAATTTAGAACGGCTAGCTGGAAAAAGCCAAGCTTAAAATAGGACAATACGGGATACTCATGCAGAAATACGTAGACCTTGCTAGATATCTGGGTTGGAAGACAATTCCGTTCTAAATGTTCTGAGACTGTGTACCCTCTGGTAATTTAACATAGCTATTGAACATGGCCATTTATAGTTCATTTACCCACTAAAAATGGTGATTTCCAACAGCTATGTTAGTTTACCAGAGGGTAATCCTCAGGGTCAAGCTGTTAGGGTGACAGTGTCACCCCCCAAAAAATCCACCAATCTGGCCTACCCAGACCTGCGGAATCCAGGTGCTGAGTTGGAGCCTGCGAACTCTCTGGGCCACCGGAGAGCTGTTGTCTCAGCAACTTCCCTGCAGTGGAGTTGCCTGCATCCTGGTGTCATAGCTATGTTGGATGTTTTTTTGGGAGCTAAAACATGCTAAAACCATCCATGATGGACCTATTTGCTGGCTTATTCCAACAATAGGGTGGACTGGTGTTCTCTTTGGAAAAAGGACGGATTTGACGGATTTGGGGATAAAACGGAGCCGCGCGTGCATGCTGCATGAAAATGATGGCCCAAACATTGATCTCGTTTGAGTTGTTTGAGAATGGTTCAAACCATTGTTAGTAACCAAACTGCGACACCTCAAGGTTTGAAGTCCGAAGTTGTCTTATATATTTGCCTACATCTCAGATGGTGCAAGAACTTGCCAAGCAAGAATCACGTCCACAGACTAGATTACTCTTGATTAGCCGTTCTTGTTTACAGGGTTCTTAGTTGAATGGAGTTAGATGAGTTGTTGCAGGTCACGAACAGAAGATGTTGGAACCTGGAAGATCTACACCTGATTGATTGGGGAAAGTAGCTATCCACAGGAGTTGCACTACGATGATTTCATATTTAACTGCTTGGTGGTTTGGAACATGGCTTTTATGACTTTCCATTCAGTTGGGAATAATCATTCCAACTGACGAACTCCATCATTTTTCAGAGGGTTTGAAACCACCAACCTGGTAGGATAGTAGGTACCTAAACATCCCACAACGACACAACTGGGTCGCTTGGACGCTTGGACGCACCGCACCGTTCCCACCGTTTTTTCAGGGGCGGCGGCGCCAGCTTCGGGTCCGTGCTGGCCGATGCGGTGCGCACCTGTTATCCAGGCGGGAGAAAATATCAAGGGACAAGGGATGGCAAGGGGCAAGCTATTGCATGGAACAGCCAGCATGAGAATTCCCAAGCTCTGGACTTGAAATGGTCTGATATTTTGGCCATCCAGCTATCTGTTGATACTCGTACTGCTTGAGTTCTAACTTCTACGATTGTAGACAGTGGCTTTGCACCTTTTGCATCTCTTACACGCACGGCTTGCTTTTGTGAATGACATCGCCAAGGATTCTTTGGGTGGTTCAACCACCAATGGATGTGGGGGGTACCATATTTCAAGCCACACTCATATAGATGTGGGATTCCCATGGGAGTCGTTTTGTGAGGTTTCCGCACCTTGCGAGCGGATGAAGTGGCCCACAAGGCTGCGACCGGGATTTTGCCCACAAAAAAAGGGTGAGTAAAAACAGTAAACCCAGATTTCAGTGGTTTATCCTGCTTAAATCCAAGTAAAAAAAGAACCCAACCAGCCAAACTTTGGGTTTGACCCAAGGGGGGTTCAATATGTAGCCGAAACCACTGGGAAAGCAATGGGAGCACAACAAACCAAGCCTCAGGGACCCCGGAATTTTCGGGGATTTTCCTTGCAGGCACTTCTTTGGAAATGGCCTCTAAAGATCTATTTCTGGGCCCGGCCACTGTTTCGCATATAGTTTCATTGCAGCTCTAACGGCTGTGTCCGACGTCATTTTTTTTCGAAGGCTTTGATAATCCAATATACACTGACTTGGGGTTGACCTCATCTAGTGATCACGGGCCCGCTTCCCTGTATATACATCCTGTTTTTGCTTTTTATAATTATATATGTTCCCGAAGTTTGGCTGGCGACATTCCAGTTTTTCTTGGTCCAATCACATTTCTGATTTATCAATTCTCCCGTTATTGCTTTGGCATACTATCCCCATGACGATTCATGTATATCCATTGCCTTTAGGTCGTACCTGCGGTTTGTTATCCATTCATTGATGGTGCAACCACTGACGAACGCAAGGTACTACCCCTCAAATCCAAAGATGGTTTGATGATTGAATTCCAAACAGTTGGATGGTAAAATCATGCTTGGTAATTGGTATGAACAACGTATTTTTTTCGATGGTAACATGTAAAATCCAACTTCTTGACGGCAACATAGGAACGCTTGAAAGCTTCATTCCTTCGACCAAGGTCGCAGATTTTTGACGGCCAAAGTCTCATTTTGTAACGGGGGTTGGTAACTGTCCTGTGTGGGGGATTTTGAAGATCACTTTCAGGTACCTGTTGGAGATTTTATCATTAGTTGGGTGTCCAATGAGGAAGAGGGAAGGACATTTGATGACATTTGGAGGTTAAAATGGGGCTACCCCCAGTTATCATCCATTTTTTTTTTAATCCCGTTTTCTATGGTTAAACCATCCAGCTATCCAGCTATTGGGTGCCCCTTTTTTAGGGAATCCCATGACCTCCACCGCAGTTTTGTGGAGGTGTCGAAGTTGGTCTCCAAAGCCCTGGAGGAGCGACTGCCCATTGCGGCGGCCAGTGGTGACTTTGCGAGTCGCAGCTCGGTAGTCCGTGGCGGACCGTGGCGGAGTCCATTCCCCAAATCACCATTTTTTTGGGTGATCATTTCCCATTCCCAAATGGTATAGGATTTTGTTTTTTCCCACATTCATGGGGATTTAGTAACTAACCACGAGGATCATTTGGTATCATGGGGATAAATTTCTAAAAACCATGATATCATGGGGATATAACTAACCATGATATATAGGGTATGTCTGAAAATGGGGTTTACCCCAAATGGCCAAATTGATAGGGAAGATGATGACGAACCTTGGGAATTTTGGGGCATCCTATTTGCAGACAAACCTGTGAGGTCGCTTGGCCTACAACCAGGGGCCCAGCTGCTTGGAGCCTGGGCAAGATGAGGAGATCACGACACACACATTTTGGGTAAAATTCCTTGGGCTGGAAAACTTGGGTAAACACCACATGACCCAATTTTTTTCCCCACTTTGGATGGTGAAAAAAAAGTCTTCGCTGTGAGGACTGGGTGTTGGGTGAGGCCCTATATAGACTTCGATATGCGCATGTTTGTTCTGCTGCTATATGTTTGTCCATGTAGTTGTATCTCTCTTTCTGGAGAAATATATTTCAATACTTGAAACACCTAGAGATACTAAGGAAACATGTGGATGTATTCGCAGGTAAAGCGAACCCATATATACGTATGTATTGAGTACATTTCAATGTGTGTACATATACTGTATATATATATAAACGCACCTTTCTTTCGTGGTATCAACTGTTGAATTTTGGCAGCAATCGACGGCCTTTTACATTCTACTCAGGTTCTTGGTTTGAAGCTCTATTTCACCCCCGGGCTTCAAAGAGAAGACGTCAAAGTCAGCAGGGTCAGATGAGAAGAGCGTTTCAATTCCAGCTGGCAATGTCAGAGTATATGTCAGATAGAATGTCATAAAGAATGCCAAATCGAATGTCAAAATATATGTTAAATAGAATGCCAGATAGAATGAACTGATATATGTCAGATAGACTGCCAAATGGTATGTCAGAATATGTCAGAATGTATGTCAGATAGAATGCCAGATGCAATGTCAGAATAGAACGTCGGTTGGTGGGGATGGAAGAAAGTAATCAGTTCTCCAGTGAGTAGTTTTAAGCAGTTTTCATATGGTTAGACCACCAATTGTACCATCATCTGGCAGGAGCAGCGGCAGCAGTTCGCCACCCAACTGGAAATGGCCGTGGAGCGGGCGGTGAAAACGGCCGTCTCCAAGCGGGGCGCCCAGTTTGATTCATACCATGGGGGTGAAACATGGGTATGGTTTCGACAGTCAGAAGCGGCATTTTTTACATGTTTTTGTGATTAACAGTCTAATTTGGGGGGCATCCAAAAAATGAATCAAAATGGGTATGTAGATGTTTCTTTTTGGGATCCAATAGAAGGAACTGTTGTCCTGAATATGCGGGAACCAAAAACACATTTTTTTTTTGGGAACAATTAATCACATGGTTTCTACTCCATGTCAGGTGAGGTTGTACTGCATACGGATTCGATATTGTTGATGAATATTGTGCGAATGTTCTCTTTGCACGACAAAACCATCTACAACATGTTCGTTGAAACATCTCCGTGGTTCCATCTTTCCGTTCGACCAGACATATTCTATGGACATGGGAAAACATGCCTAAACGCATACAAACAAATGGGGTTTGTCTGAAAACAGGATACCCCAAAATCCAGTGGTCACTCATAGAATCATCATATTTCCCATGAAAAACAACCATTTTGGGATATATCCCCAGGTTTCAGGCACGCCCAGGATATCACATGTCCCATCTCAACATCCAGGAGCTGGGGCACCATGGAGCAATCCGCGCGGCCCTGCCAGCAGACCTGCCGCCGTGCGGTGGTGCGCCAGGCAGAAACATCTGGGTCAAAATGGAAGACCGTTAAGGGGACCACAGATGGAAATGTCTAGTTGAGTATTAACCATCCAAAATTTTGGGGTACCTAATTTTGACCCATACCCATCTCATGTCGGGATGTTTTCGGTTTCAATGATGTTTGCACACCCCAAAAGGATCGATTCGGTTGGGTTTCCCTGCAGAAATCCGAATATTATGATATTTTGAAAGAAAATATGGTTCTTCTCTTCAAATAGCACGTCTTGCCTGCCGATTTTCCCTTTTCCTAAGTGGAGGCCGCAGAGATGTTGTGGGACGCCGGTTTGCTGGCGCGAGGCGGGAAATTTGTTACGGGTGGGCCCCCAAGGTTCACCTTGAATAGGAGAACCATGGGAGAAACATGAGAAACCACGGATCTTTTTTGGGGTACCTATTTGCAGACACACTAAAGTCACTAAAGACCATTGGAAGCACAGATCCTTGGAAGCACAATTCTGGTAATGTTTAGGAATTGACGATTCATTTTTTTGGGCTCTCTTTGTTTGACCCATCCCAAGTTGGTTGAACGGACATCATGATCATCAACTGGGAATCCCGCCACCAATGGGCTGGTTTTCACCTCGCTGGATAGAAGTTTTCCCAGCAAGGATGCACTTTGACAGGGGTCTGAAGCTTTGGTGGAACAACGTGCTGGGCTGGAAAATCCGCCATTTGCCAAAAATAGTTGACAGAAGTTTTTTACCAGTTGTTGATAATTAGTTTGGACCTAGTGGTTTTTCCTCTTCGTAATGAGGCGGCACGCAACTAAACTCACCAATTCTGCAAGGCAGCGCTAGCAAACCCGCTAGGTTTGCGCTAGTTTTTTTCTTTCACACCCATGTTCAAGGATATTTTTTTGTGTTCCTGTCTGCTTGTTGTTATTTCAACATGAAGAAAAGTCAAGACGTAACACTTAGCTCCTTAAACCTAAGGATGTCTTAGTGAATTTCTGTGCTACTCAACAATTTTCCTATATTTTTGAGGTTGCGGCTCAACTTCGGGAATTTGTACGTAATTTTACCCGCTAGATCCCCACTAGCAAAAGCTTCAAAAAACGGCTTTGGTTGACCCGTGACCCAGTCGCCACCAGAGAACTTGTAGTTTATCCTGTCTGTTTGACAAAGCAACAGTGACAGCAAAGGCAACGACCAGCTCTGCAGATATTCCAGTTCCACCACTAACAACTAGCAGCGGCACTCACTTCATATAGACGCGCGTTAGCATGTACTGCAGGTTTTAGCTACGGCTTCAAACATGAAAGATAAAATGCAGGGTTTCAGACTATTTAGGTCAGTCATGGTTTTAAAGGCACAATAAGAAGCGGCACGCAAGGAATTACGATTTATCAACAAAACCAGGAAAAGACATTTTGGCAAACCGTATAATAATAATATTATATATATATTATATATTATATATATTATATATATATTATATATATTATACGTTGATGTTTGTTGGACATCTTCTCCCTATGCACCCTTTGGTGCTTCCAGAAATTGTAGCATCCGCCAGGAAATGCAGACATGCTGGTGATGACATCTGTTGAGGCCTAGGGATGGGCCCGACGTTTTGACCAGTACCATGCCATACCGTACCATACAATACCATGCGATAGGATACGATGCATACCTTACAATACATGACATTTGCATTATATACATGACATTGACATTGTTTGGATTTACATTTTGCATTGGATTGCATTGCAATGGATTGCAGTACAGTATATTGCACTAAACACACAATATAGATATATACAGACATAGACATCGAATGATATCAGATTATATCATATAATGATGTATCTACTGTATGTATATATATATATTATATAATTATATATATATATATCTTTTTCATTCTCTCTCTCTCTATATATATAATATATATATATAATATATATATAGATAGAGAGAGAGAGAGATCAGAGAATGAAAAAGATATCCTCCTCCTCCTCCTCCTCCACAGCTTGATTGTCAGGGTGCCCTGGCGGCCTGCCTGGTGAATTTGCCCAAAGATGCGGCGGAAGCCTTGGCCGGCGAGGCCGCTTCGGTTCCGAAAAACCGATCGCCATTGGGTTTTTTTGGGCAGACAATGGCCGGAAAACCATCAGACAATGGGCGGTTATCATAGATTCTCATCAACAAAAACCATCAGATTATCCAAATCATAGATGATCATAAAACTCTCAACCATGATATTATTTGACCTATCATAAACCCATCCACAGGTTATCCAAATTGGAATCCCCAGAGGTCGCAGCTCACCCGAATTTTCAGGCCATGCTGCACATGAGACCTCCGCAGCTCGGCGATGATGACTGTACTGCAACCAATGAAGATTGCAATCGGATAAACACATCCATATTTTCATATTAATCCATATTATATAGTTGATTTGATATAGGATATAGATGGATTAATATGGATGTGTCTATAGGATTAATAATATTGACTATGATATAGGATATAGATGGATATAGGATATTAATGTATCCTAACGTATATAGATATGACATATATTTGTTGTGAATACTCTCGATATACTCTCGATATTCTTGGATCCAATCCATCCGCCGTCGCCAAGGACTGACGATGCCCAACCTAGGCGCGCAGAAAAACGACTGAAGATGGTCAACCATGCAGCTCTTGGGAAAAGATTGATGCTGGTGTTTGGAAGATAAGATTGATGCTTAATCAAAAAAAACATTGGGAAGTCAAGATGCTAGTAACATTAGTTTAACATTAGTTTAACATTGATGCTGGTGTTGATCCAACTAAGATGGGACCCTGGGAAATTGCCAAGTGTTCCACCCCTTTCCGAAGATCCCTGTTAGCCCTCGGACGCCTGCCGCCCTTTTGAGGGCCTTGGCGGGCGGCTTGCCGAGTGAGGGTGACGTCTTGGTGTGAGGCGCGGCAAGAGCTGATGATTGATACTGTATCTGCTGTGGCTGGAAGTCCGTCCTTTCGGCGAGTAAACGTAGTGTACTGCTTATAAGCGGTTCTGTGAGAGGTCCTTGACCGCAGATGTTGCCTGTTTTTTTGTGAGAAAATGTTGTGTCCGGGTGAAGCCACATGAGACGACATTGTACGAAGATCTTGTGGAAGTCCTTATGCCGAGATCTAACCCTGACTGCAACCGCCGCCGGCCAGGGCGGCTTCGACGATGGCTTCTGACGTCTGCCAATGACGGCGCCGCGCTTCACGCCATTGATTCTGCAAAAAGAAGCTGCTGGTAGTATCTGGTGGTGGGGATATTATGGGGATGAGGGGATGATGTTGCTGGGATGTTTTTTTTGCCCCACTGCATGAAATGATTGAAATAAGGACAAAATAGGTACAGGACATCGCTGGGAGACGGGCCCTCGTACTCTGCACCGTCTCTGGTTTTTCTGCTGCGCACAAGATACAGGTCATTTCGACATTTGCCATTTGTTTCAGTCCGATCTTGATTGGTACCGCCGTAGTACTCCCAGTCTCCCTCCAAAATGGGTGGTTGAACAAGCGCTTGGCAAAAAGTCTTTGGGCCCCAGCCAGCGACTTGACCCATAGTCATTGCTGAAATCGGTATTTTTCACGATTAGATTTGACTGGTTACAGAGAATTCAATGCATTGTTTGTCTCTTGATCTCCATATTGGTTTACCCTCTGGTAAACTAACATAGCTATTGAAAATTGCCATTTATAGTGGATTTACCCATTAAAAATGGTGATTTTCCATAGCTATGTTAAATTACCAGAGGGTATCCAACTATCCAACCCTTGTCATTTTCCCATGCTTTTCCCGGGAGGCACGGCAGCATCATGATCGATCACTTGCTGGACAGCGAGCAGATTGAAGCGCTGCGACTCTCCATCCCCGTGCGCCGGCGGTTTTTTTGACAGCGAGGAGTTGGTGGCAACCGGACCCACAACATGGATCAACATGGGTTATTAAACTATCAATATACCATGGTTTGTTCCATTGGATCATCGATTTTCCACTATGGGCCATGAACATCTTTATATTGTTCACTCTTAGAATCTCTTAAGTCACTATGACATGATGGCTAAATGGATCATATCATGATCTCCCAATCGTGATATATGATTTTCGGATATATTCAATTCACTATTATCATTAGTGACTCAAATGCAAGATATATTATTACAATATTTTCAGATAGACTGTTCCTCATTATCACATCATGCAGGTTTCTTCAAATTTTTCATGGGGGATCCCCAAGGCATCATAGGTTTCAATACTTTGAGTCATGGTCATCTATGACAACTGGATGATTTGGAGGCACCTGGAGTGACTTAAGAAACCTCCATATATCAATCTCCATTGAATGGGAAAATCCATGGATTAACATTGATGAAAACCGTTTAACGACGATTAAGCCATGGATTTTGGGGTATCATGTTTCCAGATAAACCCATGGGACATATGTCTCATCTCCAGTGAAAGCCATGACTCATTGACCCGCACACAACCTTCAGGGCGGCGCCGAAGATGCGCCGCGCAGCCATGAGCTGCGGACGCAGGGGTTGGCCAGCAGATCGCCAGGTGGGGAGATAGGATGGGATCCTGTTTGAATTCGCCAAGTTACTGGAGATTTTTTGGGTTTAACTAGTCATTTTCATCGGGGACATGATGATAGGCCGTTGCAATTTTGGGTAGTCTATTTTCAAAGCCTTATAGCAACCCCCAGGTTTCACAAGAATGTCCGGGATTCCTTTAATAGGATCGAGCCTCAAAACATTCGGCCTGGTTTGGCACGAAACAGGCATCTCAGATGGAGAAGTGAAATCTGAGTAACAATAGTGATGACTTACTCCGATATTTTTTGGGAACACTAGAACTAGCATTGAAGTATGACACGTTGGGATTTGACCACTGAAACCTCCCATTTTATGGAACGATTACAGGAATTTCATGGGATATGATATCATCAAAATATTGACCATATACGTCAATATGATATGTATTATTGATGGGAACGTTGAACATCATGGTAACATTATGAGAGTGGTATAGGCATATTGATATCATCCAATTTGATTCATTTTGATATATATATATATAAGTTATGGGATAGGGAACCTTTCAGACGACGCTTGGGTTGGCAGGTTTGGCGGAGGTGGCCACGCATCCCTTGGTGATGCAACTTGCCAGGCTGCCAGCCATGCGCACATTTTTCCCAGAACACCGAATCTCAGTACGTTCGATTGCGTGAAAAAACATTTTTTGTGCACATGAAAGCAAAAGACAGACTATTTCCATCCATTTTTCCAGACTTTTTTTGTTTCAGTTCGTGAGTTTTATTATCATTCGCCCAGATCTATAACCATCTATTGTGAACACCACCATATACGACGGTTAATTAACAATGTTGTTTCTCTATATATTACTACTAACCATCTTTTATGAAAAACCAACATATATATATATATATGTATATATATGAACAACCAACATATAATATGATGGTTAATAATGGTGTTTCTCCGGCCATTGGGCCACTGGAGTTCTGGGAGGCGGCTGCTCTCGCCGTGCCTCCAGCTGGCGGAACTGGAGAGTTGTCTGGGCCCAGCGGTGGATGCTTTGGAGAGGTGTGGGATTGATTTGGATTGTGATATGTACACTATATATATATATATATCATATCATATCATATCATATCATATCATATCATATCATATCATAATATATAATATATAATATATAATATATAATATATAATATATAATATAATATATATACTATGTACGGATATATATATAATATACACATGAATACATGTGGTAATTTAGTCAATGGTGAATAACATGCGGCATACGACTGGTGAATATGCATACTATTATATGCCTATTGGATACTATTGGGCGCATGATCTCCATCCCAAGGCAGGAATAATATGGGATATTGGCAGTTGTGATTGGGTTTTCAAATCGGGATGGTACAAGGAGAACCCTCACTTCAAACACTATAAAAAATGGCATCGCATAGAGGTATCAACGCCCCCCAAAAACGAACAAGTCACACCCCAGAAGGACTATGACTGTCCCGAAAAAACGACCACATCTCTGCTAGTTGATTAGGCATTTGCGTCGTCCAATCCAGATGGAGATGATCATTCCTTGACCTATCCCCAAACGATTAAAAGGCACCAGCTGGGTTTGTCCACAACTGTTGATGAACAAAATGACAGTTGTAACCAGAGAAACTGCCTTTTCTGGACCACCGGATTCTTGGGTACCAGATTTGGAAACGGTCACCCATGTGCGTCCCAATTTGTTTCCAGGAGACTGCAGATTTTGATCATTTTTAGTCCGAACATTTGTTAAGCATTTATACCCTCTGGTAAACCAACATGGCAATGGAAAATCACCATTTTTAATGGGAAAATCCACTATAAATAGCCATTTTCAATAGCTATGTTAAATTACCAGATGGTATACATATTTTAGGGCTACTGAATTTCGCCCGATGCCCCCAAATTTATCATTCCTTTAGGCCAAAAAATTATCCCATATGAATCAATGTTTAATCCATATTAAACCATATTAAACCCAGCATTTCCTATGGATTCTTGGGACGTGAAATCAACACGTCCAAGGTCGAACAGACGTGGACTTCGTGCGCAAGGAGCTCGAGGCCTGCGCTGGGGAGAAGGTTTGAAAAACTCATGGCTTTTCGATGGTAGCAAAAAACGCTTAACCAAGTAAACACCCATGGTTTAGTGTGTGTATATGAGAACTTCGGTGTTTCACTAGAGAAAAAACATGAGAAAATACCACATATTTTGGTGTCCTCCCCACCGATCCTTGGAACAAAATTCTCCAACCCCAAGGGCTGCCGACTGAGCCGACGGAGCCGACTGAGGAGACCACCTGGCATGTGGTGCATCCCTACCGCTTAGCCGAGTTTCCGGGAGTGGCCGGAGCCTTAAGAAGTCCGGGTCACCGCTAAGATGACAGGACTGGTCTAGATATGTCTAGATTCCTAGATGGCAGTGTGTCAAAACCAATAGTACCCCTGTAGTTCACATCAAAATAGCTGGGATTTATGGATGTTCATCCCACGAAAAATGGTATTAATAGGTATTGATCCATAGCCAGATCAATGACAAAAAGGGTTGTACGTCTCTATCCGCTCCAAAAAGCGTTGACGATCAATCCCATTTGAAGTGATATGAGCTGCTTAGCCACCAAACACACCAACTTGGCCAGCATTCGAAATTGCATGTGATGGATTATATGGGGATGGATCAGAACCCATTCGAAGGTATTTGGAGAAGACGAACATACATCACTAGCTCATGTTCACCAGCGTACTGCACCGGGGTTTACAGGTCTTGGTGATAATCTGGTTCGTTTCCCCACGGCCCACGGCTAACTCCAATGAGGTGGACCCCAAGATCAACATCACGGCCCGGGAGCCCGGTAGAGCACCGCCCAATAAAAAACGATCTTTGTGGATTCTTGGGATCATCCAGACCCGTAAAACATCAAACTTACCAGGACTTACCATCAGTAAAACACGAGTAAACCATACCCAATTGGTGTTTATTATGGGTTTTGCACACTGGCAAGGGATGGATCCAGCCTCAAAAGCAGCGCAAGTCATCAAACCAAGTGGACTCCAAACGGGGGTTCAACAAGGTGGCGCGCTGCTGGTCCTTGAGTTCTGGCTTATTAGCAGTACGTATACGAATACTATATATACACATTCTGCACATGGTACAGCCCGGAAACCCTACTCTGTGTATCTGTATATACGTATAATTTATACATACACACCCACCGAAAGTAGGCCCCGTGCTTTAGAATCGGAACAGCGCTTGTGCCCTCATTTGCGCGATGTTACCCTTTTTTTTCCCGGCAACACATCACTGCCGCATCGATTCTATGGGACGCATTGTTGTTTTTTAAAACAGACAACGCTCATGACTCACTCGGATTCATCATCTTATAGTGGGATTAGTGGGTGTAACTTATGTAACCCCAAATTAACATACTTAATTTGTTTTGGGATGTTTTGGGCATGGTTTCTTAGTTTCTTATCATCAGCCATTTTGTTTTGAGAATGGCTCAGCATACTCACTCGGCAAAAATTGGGTATACCACCTTAGTGGACCCCCAGCTCCAGCTGTTCTGCGAGGTCACCTGGTTCTTAGATCAGTTGGACACCGAAAACTCCACGTGGGCCTCAGTGAAGGCCATGGCATGGGAAAAGGGAG